AATCTTCTGTGTAGTAGCTTGATGTCCTGAATTCGGTTGAAACACTGTTTACAACCAATTCTTTATTTTTCCTTGCTGTACAAAAAATACTCTCAAAATTTCCACCAATCAAAGACGGGAGACTATCTTTCAAAATGCTTACAAGCGTCTCGAATTATTTTTTGAAGAAGTTCATGGTATATTGCAAAAAGAATTATCAAAAAAAATTTTTCCTCGCAAAAAATTAATTATCCAGATCTGGTTTTTTTTCTTTTTTTTTCAAGATCGAAATCTGAAGTTGTTATAAAGAGTTGTTTCAGCCAACAGATTATCTTCCGAGACGTGAAGCCCGAGAATATTTTGCTAAGTGAGCCATTTATCTCAGGGAAACACCACATTCTACTGTGCGATTTCGGACTAGGTAAAGTCAGTCATAACTCTCTTTTTTTAAATATAAAAATGTCGTCTGAAATCCTTTAAGCCAGCCATTGCATTCGACCAAGGTTCTTAATAAGTAAGTAAGTGCTTCAAAAAGAAGTATTGCACAACTTCTTTGAGCTGTGATTGAGACAAACTTTTTCTCCAGACAAACTTAGTTGATCGTAACCAGGGACAGATTTAAATTCGATCATCTCAGTACTCAAATGCTCTCCTTTCGGTATAAATATACAATTAACGGGAACGAGGGAGCGCCAAAAAATACTCGCTCGATCCCCCCCCCCCCCCCACGCCAGTTGTTTTTTAAAACTATAATGATGAAATTAAAACTGACAAAAACTGTCCATACTGTTTGAGAGATATTAAAGCCCTGCGCTCAAGATTGAAGCAAGTTTTTGTCTGGTCGACTCATAAACCATCGTCGACCAAATTTTTTGGTCGACATATAAAAACTTGGTTGAAAAGCGAGCATTAATTTGAGCCATGCGATCGATACATCATTCAACCACTTCAATCCGCCTTATTCAAAAAGCACGCAATTTTCTTCTTCTAATTTGCAGCTGTCGTGAAGGGGGAGGAGCGAGCAAGGGGAGCATTTGGGTCAGTGTATTACATAGCACCAGAAGCACTAGTCTCTCTACCCCCTAATGAAGACTACAACGAGAAAGTGGATGTATGGGCTGCAGGCATAGTCGCGTGAGTATTCATAACCCTTCTTTTAGAGTCACAGCTGTGATTGATTTTCAATTATCGTGATTGGTAATTTAAAATTTGACAAATTGATAGTATCAAATGATACGATCGCCAAAACACGAGACTTTTGTCCGTTTTTGCTAACTTCTTTAAACATTATGAACCTTTTGGACAATTGCACCAAAAATAAACAAACTTAACTTGACAAAGTTTCGAATAATTTTTGAACAAAATACTGAAAGAAACTCCTTGAAAATCGATATTTTTGGGTTAAAGAACTTTATCGTCGTGTACTCGCACCTTTCTGCTGACGAGCAGATTCCACAACAGAGCCTTTTCTCCTTTGGAATTTTCTGTACTGGAATTAACTGTCAAATACCTTATATTGGTCTTCAACCTATTTTTTGGTCTTTTTATGCAATCCACGTACGTTTTTTGTAAATTTCTGTATTGTAGACATGCTTGTGTTGCTGGATATCCGCCATTCTGCACTGCAAATAACAGAAACGACGAAATACTCAAACTTATAGAGGTATTAATTCAAAATGTTTTCAACTATTTGAGTCAGCTGTAATAAAAGCCTATGAAAACCCTCCAAAAAAGCGCTATCACACAGCTCAAAACCAATCCGAGCTCACGTTTGTTTTAGAGCAGACGTAAAATTAAGGCTAAAGCCGCACTTCGTATATTTGAGCGAATCAAAAATCAAAAAGCAGGATCAGTTGGTTTTTATATATTTGATTACGCATTATGTTCCAGGAATCATAAAGTTACTGCAACTATTTGTTAGACAAAGGAAATGGCTCTTAATTTTTTAATAAAGATATATAGTAGGTAGGGGTATCAATAAAATTACAAGACTGGTCGGTCGCATATCAGGGCAAAGCTCTGGATGATTTCACTGAGCTGTAAGCTGTCTCCAATAGTTTTGACGATGAAATTTTGATGAATTTTGCAACTTAAAACATTTTTTTTTGTCTTTCAAAAGCCATTATGTAATATTAAACAGTTAGTTGTTAAAACTTGAGTGGTTTTGGAACTTTTGTGATCAATCAGTCCTCAATTGTATTTGAAGCTATTTTGATTTCGGGGCAATTCATCACGCATAAATATTTTCGCTTTAAGCCTCCGGCATCATAAACCTCTTTTATAAAATCAAAATGTTGCACAAATAGGCAATTTTCAAAACCTAGAAACTTTTAAAAAGAGGGACTTCAAGTGAATTTATTTTTATATTTGAACTAATGGAGTCGATGTCATCCTGGTATGCATATTTGGTCTCTGATTTGTGATGCTCCTTTGGCGTTTTCCCAATTTAGAACAAAATGCTAGCTTTTGTTCTCCCAAAGATTTGTTATTGAGCTAAAGCTAGATTTTGGAATTATGGCAGCGGTGGATTGATAACAGTTTTTTGGGGCCTAATAAATTAGACGAAAATCAAATTAGACGTGACCAACAAAAACGAATTTAGACGTCGATGCAAAATTACAAATAAGGGAAGTTAGACGTAATTGTATTGTTCGTGTCTGAAATTTCTTTACCGACTACAATTAACTTTCGTTCGAGCTTTCTTAAATGCAAATCAAATTTTCACATTTCGCAATTTTCACATTCCGCATTTTTCACATTGTACAATTTATGCATTTCAAAAATGTTTTATAATCTTAAAATTAACATTTTATAAATCAGTTGTTATAAATATTTTGATATGCAATGGGATCATACACTATTTTTGTAAATATGAAAATTTGTTTTGGGCAATAAGTTTTGGTGGCCCTTTGCTTCCCGTCTAAAATGCTAGTTTTGCAAAAACAATTTAACGTCTAAATTCGTTTTTGTTGGTCACGTCTAATTTGCTTATCGTGTAATTTCCTAGCCCCCAGTTTTTTGTTCCATCTGTTGCAAAACTTGCAAATAAGGTCCCCCTTGACAAAAAAAATCAAAATTTAAGGAATTTTTTTTTCAATTTTCAGTTGCAATATCAATTTTAACTATTATTTTTTCTTTAACATAGTGCAGGCTGAACTTTTCATAGCAAGAAAACATACACTTCAATTTGTCAAAAACAAAATCAGGCCACAATTTTTTACCAGTAAAAGTTTTGGCTAAAAAATTTTAGAAATATAGAAAATTTTGAGGATTTTGTTCATAGTATGAGTGATCTGTGAAATAAGATATGGTTATTACTCAAATGCCGAGTTTCAATGAGATTTCTTCCCTAAAACCAAGAGGATTTCTTGCGTTAGAAAATCTCTGGCTATTGTGATTTCGGACAAAACACCAAATTAATTTAGGAAAACTCGAAAAAAACTCTTTGATTCATGGAAAAATGCTTTTCGTAGAGTTTTATTACAATTTCTTTATGTATGGAATTGGGATTCTACGAAATTAAATGACGAGCGTTTTTTCATATATGAAAGTTGTATGATATGCATTTGTGGTCTATCCGGGATGTGTTCTGGTGGGAATTTTTTCTCTAGTCAAACTCCGACTTTGTAAAAGTCATATGGGACAAATTTTTTGTTTTAAATGAAAATTATCGGATATTTTAGGCTGATATTAAAATTTATGTTCAAACAGCAACTTTTTTGTAAAGTTATGGGGGTTTGAAAATTGCCAGTTTGGTGAATTTCGGATAATAAACTGGCTATTGATTTCGCCCTATTAAAAAATAAGCGGCATTTTAGATCACTCCAACTTAAATGAGACTTTCAACTTTCTCCTACCAAAATGCTACTAGACGCAATAAAAACCGTTTATTTATCATTGAAAGGGGGGCAAAAACAGTTTAAATAACTAACAAACAAAACTCAAATTTGATTCCATTATTTTTTCAAATCCTTTTGATTGGTGTATGGCAGGCAGTTGGAACGTTCAAGCATTTCACATAAGCAGTCTTGCTAATTTTGGTCGATGGGTAATATTTTTCAATCAACATACCTATAAAAACTGAAAAACCGAAAACACAAAATATACAAACTCCAGATATCATTCTTTAGAAATTTAACTGTCAGTTTAAATGTTACGTAGATTGCCCTCTCAAAAATTGGGTGTATTGTTGTGAAATTAAATAGCATTTTAGAATACAGATTTGGACGTGAATGTTCCCGAATTATCATCTGCGAGCACAGACTTCATTAATTTTCTCCAGGAGACAATAAGACGAGATGTTTCCACGAGACTGTCGGCTACAGAAGCATTAGGCCACCCGTGGCTGAAAAACTTGAGTGACGAGAAAAACAGTGCTGTAAAACATAACTTCTCAAACTACAAAAACTACTCCAAATCGAAGTAAAAAACTGCAGGACATCTGAAAAACTTGTACTTTTCAAAATTATTATTTTTCACTACTTATTGGAGGCCATTTTTTGAGAAGTTTTGTGAAATTTTGTCGACTTTCAGACGGATTATCGACAATACAGATTTTTCTAGCTCACTTAAAACTCAAAAATACCCTATTTTGCGGAAAAAATCTGCACTCCACGTGACCTTTGAAGAAAATTTAGCTGAAAATGAAGTTTAAAGGCAATTTCTGGAAAGTTTTGACCAATATGTCTCTTTTTATCGGCGCTTTTTCTCCATTTAAATTTTTTGTTCGTTGCAGTACTTAAGAATTGCTGCTGCTAATAAAAATAATCCGTTTTTTAAACTCAAAGAAGCAATACACTTATGATGATTTATCAGTTTTAAAGCTAGTTATTTGCAGATTGAATTTTATAGTAAATTGCTAAATGCTCCCGCTTGAATGGTTTTTGAAGTTCGCAGATCTGAAATAGCATTACGACGCCACACTCATTGAGTTTTACCGGCTCCGATTCAACATCTTTTGTCTTTTTTTCCCGCAAAATTGATCTAGATTCTACATTTGATCATTGAAATAAATTTAAAATATGAATTCTTAAACACTAGGCAGTCTTTAGCAATCGACCAATTATCAAGAATCCAGCGACAATATAGAAATCAGAGACAAATACTTAGCCAAACTTGTTATGGATTCCATGGACAAAGGATTTTTTTCCAGAATCGTTGTTCTTTTTGGGTCGCTTAAATTCCGATATTGATTTCCAGAAGTGTCAGTGAATCCCCGAACATGTGATTGGAGTCCAAAAACACACTATTGCATGTTAAAATCTTTGGTTCATTTTCAATTGAACTCAAATTATTCACCCTTCATTTCTATTCACATCTTCAGTTCATGCTTTATTAGGCAATTAGGGCAATGATTTTAGCTTTTATGATGACACATGTGAAATCCTTTTCTTAAGCAAATATATCCAATCATAATTGTTCTAAAAATGCATTTCAAATAAACGCGCAAACTCTATTTTGAAACTTTTTACGCATATTGATTTTGATAAGCTACAATGTTTTGATAATGAAGTATGTTATTTAGGTGATATAAAATTTTGTACAAAGTTAACGTGTAAAACGTTTAATTTTTTCCCAATAAAATGATTTTGAAGAGGAAATTTTAAGGTTGATCCAAAGTCCGTTTTGGAAGTATCTGCTAAATAATGCAAAAGCAACTGACATATTTGCTAGGCCTTTATCGGTTATGATGTACCAACTAAAAAACAAAACTAGATTTGCTCGCGCAATTTAGAGGTTTTTTCTAAAAATCAAAAAGAAGTTTGCATCAAGAGTTAACACACTTTGATCAAAACATATGACGAAATGAAAATCTTATCGGATCTGTTTTTGCTAACTACTGCATCAAATATTGTTTCGCCTAGATAAAAAAAATTCAGGTAAAAATCAACTTCGTCATCATTTGTGGTACCTTGTTTTTTATACAAAGGAGAGATTTTGGAAAATTTACCAAAACATATTGTTTCTTAAATGCTTTTTGTTTCAAGCGTGTAATATTATTCTGTGAATCTCCGAGGTTCTCCTTTCGAGTTTTCATACTGAGCATGTTCATTCTATTCCTAACAACTGTCAGTTGATTGGCTTGTTTTCTCATATCAGTATTCAATCAAATTTTAGCCTCTCTCAAAATTTTAGAATTTTAATGAACGGTAGAGTAATATTTAAAATCATTTTATTGAATTTTTAGAAAAAAAAGTATGTTAAGGCGCTATTTCAACAATCTAAAAAAATAGAAAATCTGTTCAACGAAAGAGATCTAAATTCTGGGAATAAATGCTAATTTCCACCTGCTTGGGTCGATGAGTCGATTTGAAACACGATTTGCACGAGGTTTCTGCTGAATGAAGTTTTTCCAAAATTCTTTCCGAAATTGCTTCAGTTTCAAATTGTATCAGATAGAATGCCGATTATGTGTGGAAAAAAATCAAATGCAATAATACCTTTGTTTTTTGCCTCAAAATAGTTTTAGCATCTTTGTTTTTATTGTGGGATAGGAATGCTTCAGAAAAAAATAGAAACAATTCCTCCAACTTGCAAGCAAAGTTTCGATTCATATGTACAGGATGAGTATTTTACCCCAGAAATTTCAGTTTTTTCTAATAAACGGAATTTGACGAAATTGTTTAGAGACAATTCGAATAAAACCCATCGACTAAAGTTTTCATCCTGAGCTCATAGTTCAAACAATTGATCATTTTTTTGTGAAATTATGAGGACTAAATTTGCTGTTTTGCGGTCTTTGGTAACCTATAAACCGGCAAAAAATTTGTTGTAAAAAAAATGAGCAACTTATTTGATCCTTTTGATAAATTACTGGTCGCAAAATATTTTTTTGAACCATCACACACTTTTAAACCAAATCAATCAAATATTTTCAAAATTTGCTTACAATTTTCAGCTGCTGTTTTTTGAAAATTCAATATTATAATTTTTCACCGCACTGATCTCCAAAACATGAAAGCAAATTAAAGCATGAAGTTAGTGAAAAATATTTTCATTAAAAAATTTTGCATACTCAAAAAGTTGAAACCTTTATGAAAATTAGTTTTTCCATTTTTTGTGCTCATGAAACAAGTGTTTTCAATTTAAAAAACAATTTATCAAACGTTTGTTGAGTCCGGATAAAAAAAATATATTATAGAAATAAATTTATAATTCTAAATTTTTGAAAGCGACACTAAATTTTTGCAAAATAATTTTTTAATTGTACCAGCAAAATTTCAAATGAAAATTATCTGCACGAAACTACTTTTCCAAAAGCTGTTCACGCGCGACAAATTTTCATTACGTGGCCAAACTGTGCACTGGATAGGCGTACCGTTTTGTCTCTGTATATTCCTGGATTCCAGAGACAATTCTGTAAAGATGTTAAAATTTTGTCGAAACGATCAAAGAAAATGACATAACAAAAGAAGAAGAAAGGGAGCGTCCTTGTTGCGGAATGAGCTCCCAAAAGCAAGGTTTGGCCTCGTAATGTTGTGCATACCTTACTTCGGAGACAAAAAATAAAAAAATATTGTTCAGAGTGTCTTCCAATTCCACGAGAAACCCACTGATGATTTGTTCTAAAACGCGATTATTTTTTACAAGTTGGAAAAATTAGAAGTTTTGAATAAAGTTGATCTCTCACTAACCTCCCAAACTCCAGTTATCAAAATAATCTAGTTGGACAACGGATAAGAGTATGACTCAAACCAGTATTAGAAAAACAAGGCTGTTCGTATCAGGGCGAAGACCTGAAGGTTCTGACTGCGTTTTGAGGTCTATGGAGCACTAATAAATTGAAAACATTAAATGTAATATAATAAAATGATTTTTTTTTAGAAAAGGAAGATTTTTTGTAAGAAATCATCCCACCACACACCATTTAAAGCACAAAATGATAATTTCAATCCAAGTAACAAATCAATAATGGCCATTAAGCTTCCTTCAACTAATTTGGAAAGATTTCTAAGACGGATTGAATCTCCGCTTACGCGTTAATACCGCAAAACAGATCGCGCGTCAAATGTCCCAAATTGTCCAAAAGGGCAATCTTTAAACCCCCATAAAACAATATCTTTTCAAATTTAAGCTCATGACAACAATAGATTTCGAATGATGTAGAAAAAAAACCACCGTCAAAATTGGATAGTCAAAAAGTCGAATTGTGTCTGAAGAAAAAAACCCACCCGAGCACAAATATTCCTTTGCGTTCATTACCTTCTATACCCAGCGCTTAACAAAACAAAAGTTATCTCTTCCTAATTTAAAACAACTCTGAGGTTTTATTCTATAAATTGTTCTTGTAAAATTAAACTCCAAAATAATTAACTAAAAAGTTTTCATAAAAAATTTTAATTCTTTTGACACTCGTCCTAAGTTTGACTTCTTACAAATTTTCAGCCAGCAATCAGAGTTTAGCCCATTTGTGAATTGTCTCTAAATTGCTCAAACTGTTTCCAGATTTTCAAGTCAGATTTTTAAAACCAAACTTAATTAAATTGTTTGATCATTTTGAATTATCTCTGAATTAAATTTATTTCACTTCAGATCTCTCAGCTAATCCTATTTTTATAACATGATTTTAAGAGGTCAAGGCTCTTCTTGGATCTATTTAATAGCTTATTTAGTTGATTTTTTTTCTTTCAAGTCAAAAATTAAACATTTAATTGTTCATCAGTCGTCTGACACTCTAATCTTAAAATAGTTCCCAGAAATCATCAAGAATTGACCGTGGATTCTGTAATTCTAACCAGTTATTCTGCGAGTTTGATTAGGAAGAGCAGTTGCATAGTCTAATGCCAATTTTTTAGTATAATTTTCTCTTATATTCATAACTATACAACGGCATAAAATTCCTACAAAAAGTTGTTGATCCTAATTGTTTTTACGGACAATAAGTTTTCGTACCTTATTTTAGTTTGAAAATGGATTGGGGCAATTTGGAATTATCAGTGAAGAAACTAGCTAGCTTTTGAAGAGTTTAATTATGATGTTTACCGACAAAATTCACTTAAAATTGGACGCCGTTACGCCGTCAATGAAAAAGAACAGTTACTTCGGACGTTCTAAAGAAAATTCAAAATTAAAAAACTTTTATGCTGATATCAGTAACCTTAATATATACACCTTTCTCCTTTTTTTGTAAACAAAATCCATGTTATTTTCTAGACTCAAAATGAAACAGACTATTCAGCTACCATCGAAATCTATAAAATTGGTTAGCGAAAAAAAAAAGATTCTTGTTTGGGGTTAATGTGAACAATTGCTACATTTTTAAATACGCACGTGTTAGCGAATAAAAGAAGCCTAGAAATCCTAAATGTAAACTATATGATTTGCAATTTTATCAAAGTTTATTTTCATAGTTTTAGCTTAATTTCTGATTATGAGGCTTGTAAAATTTTGGCTTTTGATTTAGATAATTTTTCCTTCTATCATGTTTGTAAACTGATTGTATGATTTGATTTTTGCCGACGTTTCTTTCTTAGTTTAATACCAGTTTTTGTTCAAAAAACTCATTAAAAATTCGGCTTTTAATCAAAATTAATTTACCTGCCATCCTGCTTCTATGTTGGTTTGAAGATTGCCGACTGAAACAAATAATGAGCTAGTTTATTTGGCTCGAAATAATTTTTGCTTAAAACTTAAGCCAGCTATAAAGTTTTAGTAACAAAGTGTGCTTGATTTTACATGGAGAAATCAATTGTTTTTTTTTCGTTTTCTGTAACTTTCGTTCTTTTTCCTGCTTGTTTTTATTAAAAAAGTAGTTCAGACGCACTTATAGGTAATCGGCAACTGTTTCATCGAAACACGGAAGTTTACATGGATTTTCTTGAAAAAATTCTAAATTCTGTTGAACTTTTTTGTGCGAACGAAAAAAAAATTTCCCTTATAAAGTTGGGGTAACTTCAAGCACGACTCATTCCAAATTCCAACATATGCAGTTGCTTCTTGCCCAAAGACTAGCTCAAAAAAACTAAATATGGTTTTTCTATGTTTACTGT